TGGAACTTAAGCTAAAAATGGAAGAACTAGGGCTTGAGATTTTTGGACTTTTGAATTTAGATTCGAAGGACCATTTGAGGTCAGATTTGAGAACTTTTGATATGTATGAACTCGTGGGGAGCTAAGAACCCGTTGATGTAAAAATTTCTGAGTTTCGAGAAGTGGGCCCGGGGCTCTAGTTTTGCTAATTTCGGAATTTTTGATAATTTTCGATTGTTTTCGCTTGGGCTTTGCTCCCTTAGCATATTGTAATGTATTTGTTCTGGTTTTGGATAGATTCGACGCGCGTTGAGGCCGATTTGAGGGGCAAAGACGTCGTGAGCTAGTGATTTCGCCGGTTCGAGGTGAGTAATGATTGTAAATGATGTCCTGAGGGTTTGAAATCTCGGATTGCACATCGTAGTGCTATATTGAGGTGGGAGACGTGCCGATGATGAGCGTGGGGTTGTTTACTATTGGGGATTGTGACTTGGTCCGTCCCGATTGATGATTTTACTGCATATTTGACTTAAATTTACTTGTTATCATCATGATTTGGGCTGATTGCCATATTTAAACTTACTGCTCAATTGTTATTTACCTTTATTACTCACTGAGTTGGAGTACTCACTTTACTCTTGCACCTCATGTGCAGATGCATGTATTTATTCACCCGATAGCGGGTTTTGAGCTGATCGGAGGCTGAGTCATCGGAGTTTAGCAAGGTGGCTGCCAGCGTTCGCAGCACCGCTCTTCTCCCTTTCTTTCATCAGTCCTCTTTTGTACATTCAGACCTTGTAGTTGTATTTATACTCTAATAGATGCTCGTGACTTGTGACACCCCGGTTTAGGCTGTGTTTGAGTTGTATTTCGCACTTTATAAAGAAATCATTTGCTTAGTGTGTGGTTATATAATTAAAAAAAACTCTTTATCAATATTAACTTTTCTGAAAAGGCGAAATGGGTTGGTTGACAGGCCTTGTCTTCGCAAGAGTCGCCATCACGACCGGAGCGGGGTTTGGATCGTGACAATTATTTTAGGTCACAAGTTCAAATTTTTTAGCGTGACATGCTAGGACTATATATATGTTCTTTTTTTTTTAATCAATTAAATTCTAAAACTTCGGCTTATAATAAAGCAAGCATTTTACCCGTTGCATATATATTATACTCCACAGTATATGAAAATGGGTTTTGGTTTGAAAAAAGAAGAATTGAAACGTTTTAAATATTCTTGCTATTTAAAACCCAAACCCATAATATGCTCATTGTCTAAAGTCTCCAAACTGCATTAGTTGAAATTTTTTGAATCGCCCTGCGTTTTGAGTCTTCAAATACTAGTCGGTTATATACAAACAGAGCATGAAAGCTGGAGAATGAAGTTGAGATGTTGTTCAATACTTGTACTAGTACGTAGATTTCATTCTCAAGAATTGCCAAATACCTCAAAAATTCTCTCCCACCAGCGGCTTCTCACCCTCCTCTCTTCGTGCAAAGACCTGTGCTCTCTTCTCCAACTTCACGCTCGTCTAATCACCTCTGGCTTTACTTTCAACACTTCCACCTCTACCCTTCTCATCAATTTGTACTCTTCCTTCCAAAAATGCGCCTTTTCCCGCTCCCTCTTCGATTCTTTACCCAACCCACCTGTCATTATCTGGAATTCAATGATCAGAACTTACGTCAGAGTCAATCAGCACGAAGAAGCTCTCAAACTGTACGTTTCAATGTTGGAAAAGTCTATTCAGCCGGATAAGTATACCTTCACTTTTGTGCTGAAAGCTTGCACTGCTATGTCTGATTTTGAACGCAGTATCTTGATTCATGAAGAGATAGTTCGTAGGAATCTGGAAACTGATGTCTTCATTGGGACTGGGCTTATATATATGTATAGTAAAATGGGTGATTTGGAGAGCGCAAGGATGGTGTTTGATCAAATGCCTGACAAAGACGTTGTAGCTTGGAATGCAATGATTTCTGGGCTTGCACAGAGTGCAGAGCCGGTTAAGGCTGTTGACCTTTTCAAGGACATGCAATTTATTTTTAGGATTAATCCTAATTCAGTGACATTATTAAATTTGCTCCCTGCAGTTTGTAAATTAATGGATATGAGAGCATGTAGGTGTATACATGCTTATGTATATAGGAGAGCATTTCCGGTTTCAGTTCATAATGCTTTGATTGATACATACTCAAAATGTAATCATCCCAATCTTGCTCACCGAATTTTTCTTGAGCTAAGGGGGAAAGATGATGTTTCATGGGGTACAATGATGGCAGGTTTTGCATATAATGGGAACTTTCATGAGGTTTTGGAAATGTTTGATTCCATAAAGAAAACGGGCTTGAAGATCAGCAAAGTATCAGCTGTAAGTGCATTGCTTGCGACCGGTGAAATTGGCGATTTAGGGAGAGGGAAAGAAATTCATGAATATGCAATCCAAGAAATGATTGATTCCGACATTATGGTTGCTACTTCATTGATGACAATGTATGCAAAGTGTGGATTGCTAGACAAGGCTAGAGATCTGTTTTGGGGAATTAACGGAAGAGATTTGGTTGCTTGGTCCGCAGCAATAGCTGCTTTCTCACAATCAGGATATCCTCAAGAGGCACTCTCTCTGTTTCGAGATATGCAGAATGTGTATTCACAGCCAAATAATGTTACTCTGGTGAGTGTTATCCCAGCCTGTGCAGAGCTAAGAGCAGTGAGATTAGGAAAGAGCGTCCACTGCCATGCCGTCAAAGCCAGCATCGATTCTGATATTTCAACGGGAACTGCCTTGGTTTCCATGTATGCTAAGTGCAACCTATTTAATTTGGCACTTAATTTGTTCAATAAGATGCCACTGGTTGAGGTAGTAACATGGAATGCTCTGATAAATGGGTATGCTCAGATTGGTGACTGTTATAATGCATTAGAGATGTTTTCTCGATTAAGGTTAACTGGATTACACCCAGACCCCGGGACAATGGTTGGTGCGCTTCCAGCTTGTGCCCTTCTAGGTGATGTACGCTTGGGAGGATGCCTTCATTGTCAAATTATCAGATACGGGTTTGAGTCAGACTGTCATGTGAAGAATGCTCTAATTGACTTGTATGCCAAATGTGGAAGTTTGACTTTGGCTGAATTCCTGTTCAACAAAAATGATTTCTCTAAGGATGAGGTGTCCTGGAACACAATGATAGCAGGATACATGCACAATGGACTTGCCAAGATAGCCCTTGCCGCATTCCATTCCATGAAGTTCGAATCATTTCGGCCCAATGTGGTCACAATTGTGAGCATCCTGCCTGCGGTGTCACATTTGACATGTTTGAGAGAGGGCATGACTATACATTCCTACATAATTAAGAGTGGCTTTCAGTCTCATAAGCTTGTAGGGAACAGTCTTATCGATATGTATGCCAAATGTGGTCAACTTGACCTTTCGGAGCGTATATTTGAGGAGATGAAGAACACTGACACTGTTTCTTGGAATGCTTTACTTACAGCATATTCTATGCATGGGGAAGGCGATCGTGCTCTTTCTGTTTTCTCTCTAATGGAAAATAGGGACATTGAAGTTGATGCTATATCCTTCCTTAGTGTCTTGTCTGCCTGCAGACATGCAGGCTTGGTTGAAGAAGGAAGGAAAATATTTCACCACATGCGTGACAAATACCACATCGAGCCAGATGTGGAACACTATGCCTGTATGGTAGACTTGTTAGGCCGTGCTGGCTTGTTTTATGAAATTATGGATCTGCTTAAGACAATGCCTATGGAGCCAGATGGTGGAGTTTGGGGAGCCTTGTTGGATGCATCTAGAATGCATTCTAATATCGAGTTAGCAGAGGTTGCTTTGAAGCATCTTGTCAAGCTTGAGCAAGGAAACCCAGCTCATTATGTGGTATTATCAAGCTTGTATTCTCAATCTGGTAGGTGGAATGATGCAGGACATACTAGAGTAAAGATGAATGAAACTGGATTGAGAAAGACACCAGGCTGTAGCTGGGTTGAGGTGAAGAGGGGGATATGAATTTTGTGTAGGTGCAATAGAGAGAGCCATTGGTGTTTCTCTTTGATGAACTAGTCTAAGGGTGGCAATCCAACTGCTGAAAAATCTCCATAATTTTGCTGGGTACTTAGTGCCACACATCTTCAAGGTTGATCTCCAATATCAGCAAAATTTAGCCAGCTTCAAGCTCCACCTATAAATTCTAGGATCTACAACTGATATTCAAGGCCCCATGATGGTGGCGGGAAACAGAACGTGCTTCACAAAATTCATGTTCTTAGATGAAAATGTAAACGGTGAAACATGTCTTATACTGGAAGCCCATCATATGGGATTAACTTTTGCTTGGCATTTTGTGCCTATTGTATAAAATTCGCTTATTTGTTTTTGGTACAAACCAGATTTATAGGTCAAACCTATCTATACAAGCTATCTTCATATCTGCCAGGTAGGTTAAAAATGCTTTCCATTTATGTGCTATAAGTTGTTGGCAGCTTTATTTAAGATGTGCAGAATCTCTGAAGAGATTTCATCTGTGAGTAGCTGGAATAGTCTAAAGTTGGGGTTGGGGGGAGTTGTATTTTTAGGCAAAGTTGGAACAGAATATTGATTTTTACCCAGTGCAGAGTCTGGGAACAGATTCCATTGTCTCATGAGCTGTTAGCAAAAAATATTTTGGTTTACCTGAGTTGGTGTTTGGTGATACTTTTACTGGGCTATTGAACATGATGTTAATGTTAGGAAGTCTTATATATTCAAATGTCAGAGTCTTATGTATTCAAATGTTAGGGAGTCTTATTTATACAAATGTTAGGGAGTCTTATTTATTCAGATGTTAGGGAGTCTTATTTATACAAATGTTAGGGAGTCTTATTTATTCAGATGTTAGGGAGTCTTATGTCGACGCTAATTTGCTTTCCAGTTGGGAATGTTGTATTCCTTTTGGTTGGTTGATGTTTTTGCTGATAAAGTCAGATCTACTAGCAATCTCATTTTTGATTGTTTGTATGTCGTACAAAGAGATAGGTTTTGCTTAGAGGTGAGTCTTTCAAACTCAAGGGAAGAAAGAAGGAATCTGTACCTGGTGCTTTCTGATTATGTGTTGCATCAAATAAGTGTGTCATGGGTAGCTAGTGGACCTTCAGACTACAGTGATGATGAGGTCCAACCTGTCGCTATGCTTGGAAAGGAAGGCATCTAGGAGCTTCTGCAACGCCCAATATCTAGTGCATTGTCCAAATCTCCAAATTCTGACCTTCTATGGTAATGCTCACTTCATTCTTGCTCATTTTCGTTAGCCGTCAACCATGATAGTGTCGTTTTTGCGGTGGAAAACATCTGAAAAAGCTTATCCAATCGTGCTTTTTTGTGATGAATTGTAAAAAGATTGATGCTTCTCATTTTCTGCTGTATTAATGAGAAGTAACTTGATTGTACTTCTTGGTGAGTAATCAAACATATTTAATAGCCAAAAGATGCAAAGGGGAAATTGCATCTCAGCGAGTAAATCTCTGTATGGTCCAAGTGGGTTTTCTCCTTTGGTTCCCTGAATCAAAGTGGCCTCTAATGGTCCAAGTGCACTCAATCTTTAATTCCATGCCAATACAGATAAAGATTCCATATACAAGAAAAGAAATTACATGGTAGCTAATTAAATTTCTTTTTCTTAAAGTTAACCCCCTTTCTTGAGGAATAATGTTTTCTTCTCTCCTCTACCGCTATTAATTATATCAATAACCTCTACAGTTCTCTCTGTGGCTCTTCTTCTAGTTTTTTTATTTATTTAAAATAATTGATTATATTATAACATTTTAGATTTTAATAAGTACATGCTATGATATTAATAGTATGAGTATTAATGGATCTTTAAAAGTCGATTAGACCTATCAAATCGAACCGTACCGTATCTTTTAGGTTTTTATATAAATTTATGACCATATCGAATAATTAGGTAGGTTTTTAATTTTATAAAAATAAATTAAAAATTACTGAATCGTACCAAATAAATTTATTATGAAAATATATTTTATATACTAGGTTCAAATATAACAAAGCATTAGAATTTTTCCCCTTGGGCCGTGAGATTATGGAAACAGCTATACCACAAGTAATTAACACCCAAAGTCCCAACTCCTATACCTATTTTGCTTACTCATATTGAAACTGAATTACATCTTGAGTAGCAAACCACAAGGTAATCGAGCAATCTTAAGTAGTAAGTCACAAGGCATTGGATATTTTTCCTCTCTTTTGATGTAGAGTTATATTGTTGGATACTTAATTTTTTAATAAAAGTTATTCTTCAGTCCCAAATTGATTAGTATCGTTCCATTCGTGTTATTTATATCACTCTTGTCTTTGCTTAATTTATTTTACGCTTTTGTAGAATTGAGGAATGGATCAAGATCTATTTTGGCCATCTGCTATGTTCCCTTGATTCATCAGTACAGTAAAATTGTCCAAATCTTTTTACCAAAGTTCTATGCATGTACGCATTTTATCATTCTATCTTCCACTAGCGATATTTATCTGATGTTTAAAAAAAATACCAAAAGTTAACCGGACTTTATTGATACCGAAAAGAAATCGGGATGATTGAGATGGTTTTGAAAAGTTCAATTTTTGTTATACAAAATAAATTAATCGAAAAATTGCTATGGTACAAATTTACAAAATAATCACTAGAACAGAACCATTGATACTCTTGAAGATACCTACATTCAAAAGTGGTATGGTCTAGTGACCTACATCAATCTACTAATATAAAATAAACTTATAGAGAGAATAAATTCTCCCCCTAAACAAAACTCTCCGAAATACTACATTGTGGATATTGTTGTTGTTCTTGTGTGAGAAGCATGTTTCAATTTATAAAAGTGCAAAACTTCTCTTCCAAGAAAAAGATAAGGCATATGAAATAGATTTATTTCTTTTAGGAGTCTTTTTCCCTTACTTCAATAACGAGAGTCCTAAGGCCATCTCCAACCCTCCCCTATTTCTCCATAATGGGGGCAACTTTTGCTATAATGGAGCTTCAACCTTCCCCCATTTTTGCCTCCAAAATGAGGGATGAACAGTGTTCCTCCAAACAGAGGCGGATCTAGAAATTCAAGACGATAGGTGCACCATTACTTTCAAGATTAACATTTAGTTTGATAATATAAAATTTTACAATCACAACAACTTACCGAGCAAAAAAATAATTAGTTTCATTATCACAAAAACAAATATTATCAATTTACAATTGTACTCGACGAGTTTTCATACTTTGAAAACGATCAATAATAGCATCATTACTTACAGTTGCAAATACCTTACGCTCTATATTGCAAACGAAACAGCCATTCAAAAACTCTTCACTAATGCTATTACGTAGATCACTTTTTATGAGCTTAATTGAGGAAAATGCCCTTTCCACGCTTGCAGTAGCAACAGATAGAATCAAAGTCAACTTCACAAATAAATAAATATGACACTAAGTTTGATCCAATTTTGTCTCTGCCATCACTATAGCAAGATCCTTCATTCCCTTCAAGTTGATAAATTTGCTATGAGGCATTCGAGCATAGACAATGAAACTATCAAGCTGAAAGCTGAGATCTCGAAGCTTGTTGTCATCAAACTCACTTGGATAATACTTGGCCAACTTCATTATTCTGTCTTTGTCAAAATTAGCAAATGAATCAATCGGATTCAAACAAGCCATACCAAGGAGTAAGTCACTAGTCATTACATCAAAACGACTATTTAGCTCATGAAGCTGAAAATCAATAGTTGCATAAAATATTTTCACAATAAAGTGATGTGAATATGAAACTCCCGACCTCTTTCGTATCGATCTTGGACAATCTTCATCCATTTGGGATCATAATATCATGTTTACCACAGAATGAGTAAACTTCATTCATCAAGAACTCAAATTCACTTTCTCTCATAGTCTGCAATCTTATATTTGCAAGGTCAAGCAACCTCATAGCATTGACTATGTCTTGATCTTTCTTTTGTAAAGCTTTGTTCAATTCATCTGTAAAAAGCAACATCTTGAACATCAAGTGCAATAAAAACACAAACTCAAATTCTTGAATATTACCCAAAAGATTTTTTTTGCTGCAAATCTATCAAGAGAAAGAAGACTATCTTGTTGCATATCTTTAAGAACGTTAACAATCGAAGAAAATATAATCAAGACATTTTCCAAGGTCTTAAAATGCGAACCCCAACGAGTATCACCCGGTCGTTGGAGCCCACGTTCTTGATTCAATCCTTGCCCGGTAATCTCCAGACTTAAGTAATTCTTCCAACTTCTCTACTTGGTGTTGTCGAAGTATTTCCCTGCTTTTAAAAGATGTTCCAATAGTATTCAATGTGTTAGTGACAACATCAAAAAAATTATTCACATCCGGATGCTTTTTAGAAAGAGCTACAAGTGTTAATTACAACTGATTGGCAAAACAATGAACACAATAGGCATATAAAACATCTTGTAAAATCAAAGATTTTAGGCCATTTATTCTTCCTTGCATATTGTTAGATCCATCGTAACCTTGTCCACGTAGCTTGGATGAGCTTAACGAGTGATCCAAAAGCAAATCATAAATTATTTTCTGTAATGATAATGCAGATGAATCATTCACATGGACAATACCCAAAACGCGCTCAATCACCTCCCCTCTTTTGTTAACATATTGTATAACAAGGGCCATTTGCTCTTTATGTGAGATGTCCTTTGATTCATCAACCAATATCCCAAAGAATTCGTCATCCAAATCTTGGATAATAGCTTTACTTGTTTCTTTAGCACAAGCATCCACAATATCCTTTTGAATTGCTGGACAAATAATCATATCATTTTTTGGAGCTTTATGTAATGTTACCTTTCCCACATCTGAATGCTTATCCCCATGAAATTCCAAAAGTTCAAGAAAAAAATCTTTGTCTTCAGAATCTTCACTTTCATTATGACCACGAAATGACAACCCATTTCTTAAGAGAAATCTTACCACATCAACCGAGGCATTTAAACGTATCCGATGATCGCTTTTTACTTTCTCACTTTTCTTGTGAAAAGAAGATTGAATCGATTGTTCTTGATTTATCAAATCTTGCATCCTATTAAAACATTTGTGATGGATACTACTTACTTCCCCAGACATGCGTTCTAAGTCTTTCCGTACCTTTGTTCCAACCCTTAAAACCATCTTTTGTAAATGCATCTCCCGCATTACCACGACTTTCAAGTTCATTTTTAAACAAATACCAACACAAACAGAATGCAGCATCACTTTTTATGCTATATTGCAACCATTGAGAATATGGACCCTAGAATGAATCGGGATTAAATTGATGCATTTTGTTCCCAAATTTAGTTTTAGGGAAAGCATGGCCACTCGGTTGACAAGCCCCTTTTTGAATATAATGTCTCCTCACTTTATCTCGGATATTAGGGGCATACTGAAGAATCGGTATTTTTTCTTTGGGATTATGATTGGGAGATCTTAGGTCAAGAACACTATCAACATTTGAAGGAGGGGATACGATTGTCCCTCTTTGGATTTCAGGAGCTATATTCGAACTAACAGAAGGCCGACTACTACCATTGGAACTTGATTGGCCAATGTTTGACCTGATCACAAATTTATCCATTTTGATGTTCCTACAAAGTCAAATATCTCTCATCATCAAAATTCAAATTCATAATAAAACTAAGGGAATCACACTTTTAAATTCATAATAAACAAGAGGAATCACACCCCTTCTGTATTCAAGAAAATAGGAGAATCACACCCTTTCAAACATAATAAAATAGAGGAATCACACCCCTTTCAAGTTCAATTAAAATAAAAAGAAAACTTACCAGTTCTTCTGCAACTTTTGATAATTTTATCTTTGAGATCAAATGGAAGTGCTTGCCCACTGCCCAATTCTTCACTTGACATAATCCTGAAATTTTTATATTAAAAGAACCTTTGTTGAAATAAAACCACAAAAAAGAAAAACTTTGCTTCACTGAAGAGTCCTTCGTAGTGATAATATGGTACTTTTGCAATTTGCAGTAGACTTTAGACTTTAGAGTTACTTTTATCTTTATTTATGACTAAGCTCTTAGGAGCGCTTTGTATATTATGTATATTTTATTAGCTTCAATAGAGTAAATTATATACACTGTAATTCAATATCAATCAAAAAGGATTAGCTCAAGAAAAGTTATCAAAATAAATCTAAATCAGAAAAAATCTCCTTCATTCAGTAGTTACAGGAAAAAAAATCCCAAAATCGGAATAAACCTACAAGAAAACTTATTAACTAGTTTAGAAAAAGATTGGACCTTACCTTGGAGGAATTGGAAAATAGCATTGCACAGGCAGTCAGAGAGTAAATGGAGACAGGATGTCAAAATTAGCTTTAGATTTTAGAACAAGAGACAAGAAGAAATCAAAATAGGAACTAGGGTTTTGCTTCTTTTTTTTTTTTTTAACGTGTGACNTGTCATCAAATATATATAACTACTTTTTTGCAAATTATATACATCATATACATATTTTAGCCGAGGGACCATGGGTTCACGTGAACCACATTTTTCACAGTAAATCCACCTCTGCCTCCAAATATTGGGGGACACTATTCATCTCCCTCATTACTATTCATGCATATTTTATTTTTTAACTCTTTTAATTTATCTCTTTATATATATACCTAATTATGTTTATGTAATATTTTTATAATATTAATTTTACATCTTAACTTTGGAGTATAATTTTGATAAATTAATTTTCGTGCATTTATTATTTATATGTAAAATTGTAAGTTAATTTTATTATAAGTTATAATTTTACAAAAAAAATATAATCATCTATTTGCCTTTCTCTTCTCTTTCTTTCTCGGCGCATTTTAGTGTGAATTGCTAACCTGCGCTCACCAGAATGGAGAGAGCATGAGGACAGCCATCGAAGGCTACTAAGCTACTGATTAAGGAAGACAACAACTCAATGGAAGGAAGGACTCTAGAAACTGTGAGATTGGTTACACCAAAACCTCTAGCAATCGGAGGTGATAGTACTGTTACATTGAACAAAGCAGGGGTCAAAGAGGCAAACATCACAAATGAAAGGAAATTGAGTGAGGAAACATCAGTACATAAAGGAAAGGAGCATGCAACACCGGAATTGGAGATATGGCCAACCCTACCAGCTCGAAGTGGAGGAAGCAAAGCATCAGCTGGTACATGGACAACACCGACTAACATGCAGAAAGTATCAAGCTCGGAAGGACCATCACAACAACAGATGCAAGCTGTAAATCTGAAATTGAAGTCTGTTTCAAGTGGAAACACCAATGGAACAGTAGCTCAAACTGGAGGTGCACAGAGGAAGTTACAGTTGGAATCTGAACCAAGGCCAACTAAGACATGGTTGATGCTGTTTGAGGAGAATAATCTAGCAAAAAGAGGCATGGATCGGAAGTTTATACCGCCTACTATTGTTGAGGGTGAGTCGATTGTAGAACTGGTACAAGAGGATATTGATAATGAAGTACACAAGTGAAAATATGCGGCAATAGTATATGTCATAGGTGGATCACCTTCTATTGGGGCTATGGAGAGATTTGTGGCAGGACAAGGGGATTTCTCAATAAAACCAAAAGTATATTATCATAATGCTGGTTATTTTGTGATTAATTTTTCATGTTTGGAGGAGAGGGATATGGTGATGTATTCAGGGCCACATATGCTAACAATAGACCAGTTATTATGAAGGCATGGACTGCTGAATTTGACTTTGATGCTGAGGATTTGAAGATAATTCCCATTGTGATCAAACTGCCTAACTTACCTCTATGTTGTTGGAATGCAAGTGCATTGAGCAAAATTGGTAGTGGTTTTGACCAGCCAATATATGCAGATGCTTGTACTTCAAATACTGAGAGAATTTCATATGCGAGGATATTGGTAGAAGTTGATGTTACTAAGGTGTTACCAAATGTTATTAAAATAAAAGATCCAAAGGGCAGAATCATGGCACAAGAGATATGGTATGACTGGAAGCCTACATATTGTCCAAGATGTATGCAAATAGGCCACAATTGTCAACAAAAGCAGATCAACACAGTAGGGGTAGAGAAGAAAACAGGACAGCAACAATAGAAGACAGTGGCAAAGCAGAGAACAGAATGGAAGCCTATCAATAATAGAGCTGGATTACAAAGCCAGCATCAGCAGGAGGTACAAAGGAAAACTGATAAGCAACAAGTGAACAATGATAAAAGAGAAGGAAGTGGAGATATATGGCAACAAGTTAAAAGTAAATCTGCAGCCGCCAAAGGGCAAAGAACACAAGAAGCTGGGCAATGCATTCAAGTTCTGAATTGTTTCAACAGCCTAGCGGAGACAGGAAGCCATTCATTCATGAATATTAGAAAGAAAAAGAAATAAAAACGATAGTAACTAACAAGCTATAAAAATCTCCTTATCCTTTGCAACAATAATTTCTGCACAAGCATGCCCTATCTGCCACAGCTAAACATTAATTCTACAATGAGATAAATAAAAACAACATGAAGTTTCAGCATTTAATTGGTCAAAACACCTAAATTCCAAATTAATGCTTTCCAGATTACCAAAGATAAAATTAAATTACACCAAACAAAGAAAGTCATATATATGCCTGTACATTAATCCCATATATAGAATTAACAACACAACAGATTTTCACTAATAAGATTTATTAGAATAATAAAGAGGGAAAAGAACACAAACCCACGCCATAGAAAAAAGTTAATGGCATGACATGATCCTAATTAATTTGCAGTATCAAATATGATGAAAATACCAGCTAGCTATTTGATTTCATATATATATATATATATA